AGTCGAACTTACTGGGGCAAGTTCGACGGGCGTGCGGAGACCCAGACGAAAAATGTGTTAATAATTGTAATAATTTGTCTAGATGTAGAAAATTATTTTGTTTTAAAGATTTCATTGATGGGCAGAATTGCGTTTTTAAGATAGATTCGGACTCGGATGTCTCTTAGGCGTGATTTGATTAGAATGCCGAAAAGGCAAATCCCTCTGGATAATTCTGTTCGGCTGAAGTATCCGACCGGAGAGGAAGTCTCTGTTGAATTTAAAACGGTCGTGTTGGTAGAGTTAGGGAAATATTTAGTAGAACATCCTGTTTTCGTAACTGATATGGTTGAGAATTGTTTGTTGAGAGCTATTTCTTTTCAGCAGTAAATAAGGAAGATGTTTTTTTGAGTCAATCTTTGGAAAAGTTGATTTCTGCGAGCAGGGGCAATTTGTATGTTCGCGAATAAAGAGCTACTTCGACGAGGTTCCTCAGTTTTTAAAAGAAATTTTCAAAAAGGAATCTAAAGATTTAACAGAAGAGCAGAAAGATCTTTTCGCCCAGTTCTTAGCTGAATTCCAGGATATTTTCTCTGAAGGAATTGTAGCTGGGAATTGTAATGTAGTTGAGCACTCCATTAATGTGATTAATTCTAATCCTATTAAACAGGCTCCCCGTCGTATCCCTCTGAAGATGAGAAGGGAAGTCGAACAGACTTTTGAGGATATGAAGCGTCAAAAGGTTATCGAAGAGTCTCAAAGTCCTTGGGTTTCTGCGGTGATGGTTAAGAAGAAGGACGGCTCCATTAGATTTTGCGTGGACTATCGAAAGTTAAATTCGGTGACTTCAAAGGATTCATATCCAATACCATGGATTGACGATATGCTTGATCAATTATCCGGAAACTCTTGGTTCTCTTCTCTGGATTTAAAGAGTGATTATTGGCAGATTAAGATTCGTCCTGAGGATAAAGAAAAAACGGCTTTCTCTATTGGAAACGGATCTATGGCAATTTACCGTTATGCCTTTCGGTTTATGTAACGCTCTTGCCACTTTCGAACGTTTAATGGAGAAGGTATTACAGCAATTGTTATTTAAAATATATCTGGTGTATCTAGATGATGTTATCATTTTCAGTAGCAGTTTTGAAGAAATGCTGGGTCATCTGAGACAAGTCTTCTTTGCGGTTATGCATGGCTAATTTGAAATTGAATCCGAAGAAGTGTTTTTTTTTAGGAGAAAGATTAAATATTTAAGTCATGTGATTTCCGAAAAGGGGATTACTATTGTTTGAAATTCATATTTCGCATGCATATCATCTCAGCTCATCATTACTGAAAATCGAAATTTTTCAAATTAACGGACGTCGAGAATCTTCTCGACGCTTCTATTTATAAAAAAAAACCGATCGTTCGAGTTATCTCTATTTTGTTGCCACCGCAAAAACCGTTTATCTCTGCCGTTGACAATAACAGTGTCAACGGTCGCCGAAACCTGTATAGTTCACGGGCATGCGCGCCCATGCGTCACGATCAGCTGATCACCAATCAGCTGATCTAAAAAGATCGCGCGCATGACAATTACCTCATTGTCAGCGGTAGACCTCATCGGCGGCCAATGACGCGCGGCACCCTGAGGTCACCGCCAAAATACAAAGTTAATTGGGCCACGTCGAAAAATCTGCCCGGTATATAACGGGCCCCACGCGTAGACAAGGCGAAGTCTCGCACTTTTCGCTAAACCGCACTTTTCGCTAAACCGCACTTATTGTAAATCGCTTCACAAACCGCAGTATTACTCGACCGCTTTCTTCACTCGGACTTTCCTCTAGATTACGGACTTGAACCAATTCCGGCAATATTTTTTGAGTTCTGAAAAATATATATATTTTGTGTAAAACTTTATTCATCGTGTGGTGTTAAAAATAAAACTATCAAAAGTACAAAAAAAATCATACGTGTCGTGGCTTGTTTTTTCTCAATTGTGCAGTGTCCGAGTTCAAGACCTTTTCTGTCGCGCCTCTCGTTTCGAATAACTCATTCGCGAACATTTTCTGGTCCTTCGAGAAGTATTTTTTATCCGCATCCGCAGTTCGTGGGTGAACTTTGTGACATAGTGCGTGAATCTGAAACTGAAAAGTGATCATGAGTGCAGATCTAAAGACACTGTTGGAGGCGCAGAACGACATCCACGGACGAATGTCTCGCTCCGTGGACAATCTGCGCAAGATGGGCGTCTCGAGCATTACCGCCGAAGCGATTCAGGCTCGCCTCCGCATTCTCGACACGCTGTGGACCAGATTCGAGACCCATCATGACCTCATTGTAGCGGCGCTGAAAGACAAATATCTTGAGAGTGAGTACGCAAAGAATGATTTTATCGATATCGCGGAAACTACCTACGTGACATAAAGGAGCATGCTGGTCGAATACGCGAACAAACTCAAGGGCGAGTCGTCCACTACGCCCAAGGTCGAGGCTCACCAAGAGCAGACGCTCAAGACATCGCTGCCGCGAATTAAGCTCCAGTCGTTCTCCGGTGCATACAGTGATTGGCCCGCGTTTCGCGACATCTTCTTGTCCATCATCGGGAGCAATACTTCCATTTCCGACGTGGAAAAGCTCCACTATCTCCGTACGAGCTTACAGGGTCCTGCGGAAAAACTAATTAGATCATTGCCGATTGTCGGGGGCAATTATGACAGGGCGTGGTCAATTTTAAGTTCTCACTACGAGAACAAGCGAGAGCTCATTCGCGCCAACTTCGCTGCCTACACCGCCGTGCCTAAAATGAAGAACGCGACCGCTGACGAGTTGAACCGAATTTATAACGCCGCCACGACTGCCATCAATGCTCAGGAGAGCATCGAAAGGCCCATCGGCACGCACGGTATGGACCTCTTCAATTACCTGCTCGTCGAGCGCTTTGACCCACAGACTCGAATGCAGTGGGAGTCCTCAATCCGCGATTCCGTCGACCCGCCAAGCAACGACGTCCTTATGGACTTCATAGCGAAGCAGATCCTCACGCTGAACGCCGTGCAGCCAACCACTGCCGCGAAATCCGGAGACACTTCTCGGTCCGCAAAGTCGCACTTTGTAAGACGCGCATCCGGTTCGTCAACGTGCGCCGCCTGTAAAGAAAAGCATTCGATTATGCAATGCTCGACGTTCAAGGCCAAGACCGCTGCCGAGCGAAAAGGCCTAGTAGAAGCAAACAGATTGTGCTTCAACTGCCTCGATAACCATTACCTGGCAAAATGTCAGTCGTCGAAAACGTGCTTCACTTGCAAAGCACGCCACCACACGCTTCTGCACGACGCATGCTCGCAATCTGATGGTGCGATTTCCTTGTCCACCACACGCTTCGCATCAGACCGCAAGGCAATTCTTCTTGCCACCGCACGGGTCACTATCAAGGACCACGTGGGAAGACCGCACGACATCCGAGCACTGATCGACCAAGGATCAGAGGTCTCTCTAGTCTCAGAGGCCCTGGCACAACGATTGCGCCTGCCGCGGATCCGCTCCTCGATGACGATAGCCGGGATCGGAGGAGCCTCTGGAGCAACCCGCGGACGGCTGTCTTTGGCGCTCTCCTCGGCAATAACTGGAGCAACGCTCCCCGTCCAGGCGTACGTCCTGCCGCATCTCTCCTCATACCAGGGGCCCATCGTGCGAGCCAGCGTCACCTGGCCCCACATACGCGGTCTCTCTCTGGCCGATCCGCAGTATTTAGACCGAGATTCAATCGAGATACTGCTCGGTGCGGATGTCTATTCCGCCATCCTTCAAGATGGACTCCGCAAGGGATGCAAAGACGAGCCCATCGCACAGAAGACCTCCCTCGGGTGGATCCTGTCGGGAGGACACCGAGCCACGACCCAGGGTAGCCATGCCGCTCACCAATGCACTATAGACCGCCAGCTGACCGACTTGGTGCAGCTCTTCTGGGAGCAGGAGAAGGAGCATACCGCTCCCGTCGCTCTTATCCCGGAGGAGAGAAGATGCGAGGACATCTTCGTCCGCGAGCACTCACGCACCAACGCCGGACGTTACATTGTGAGGCTTCCCTTCTCCGGAGCTCCACCCTCTCTGTCAGGAACCCGTCGGCCGGCCGAGCGTTTACTCCATGCCATGGAGCGCCGCTGCGACAAGGACGCTCGATTCGGCAACCTCTATCGCAGCTTCATGAAGGACTACGAAGACCTGCAACACATGGAAGCTGTAACCACATCATCACAACAAGAAGATACTGCAAGGTGCTACTTACCGCATCACGGAGTGTTGCGAGAAACGAGCACCACCACTAAGCTCAGGGTCGTGTTCAACGGCTCACAGCTCACGACCTCGGGCACCTCACTCAACACCAGTCTGCTGACTGGTGCCAACCTCTTGCCAGTTCTCGCCGACGTACTCCTGCGCTGGCGCTGGCACCGTTACGTCTTCTTGGCGGACATTGAGAAAATGTACCGCCAAATTCTCGTTCATCCAGACGACCGCGATCATCAGCGGATACTTTGGCGGCACCGTGCCGTTGACGACATCCGCGAATACCGCTTGCGAACGGTCACGTATGGCTTGGCGTGCGCGCCATTCCTCGCCATACGGACTTTGCACCAGCTCGCCGACGACGAAGGTCACCGATTTCCGCAAGGAGCTGTCGCGCTGCGCCGCGATACTTATGTGGACGACGTCGTGACCGGCGCGAGCACCCTCTCGGAGGCCACCGCAGCGCAACGGGAGCTCCGCAGCCTCTGCATGGCGGGCGGGTTTCCTCTTCGGAAATGGGCGGCCAACCACCTCAGCATCCTGGACGGCGTTCCGCACGAGCACCGGCTGACCCACTCACCTCACTCGTGGTCACACGAGAGTCACACAACACTGAGTCTTCACTGGCACCCGGCCAGTGACCACTTCACATTTTCCCAACACGTCACTTCGACGAACTAACAAAACGGCGTGTCCTGTCCGAAACCGCACGAATGTTCGATCCTCTCGGCTGGATCACCCCGGTCACAATGCGGGCCAAGATCCTAATCCAGTCCGCCTGGCTCCAGAAGATCGACTGGGACACTCCACTTCCATCACCGGACACGCTCGCTTGGAGGAACCTGCTCTCGCAACTTCCGCGCCTCAACGAGATAAAGGTATCTCGTTGGCTCGGCAGCGACGGTCCGCACTCACACGTCGAACTACACGGATTCGCCGACGCATCGGAGCGAGGGTACGCCGCCGTGGTATACCTCCGCTCCTCTACTGGAAGGGGCACCACACTCCACCTGCTGACCGCTAAGGGCAAGGTCGCGCCCGTGAAGCCCGTGTCCTTGCCAAGACTCGAGCTATGCGCGGCCGCCCTCTTGACGAACCTCGTCGTCCACACGCGCACTCTGCTAAGTTTGTCCTCAGCTCCAGTCTTCCTTTGGTCGGACTCCAGGGTCACTCTTCACTGGATCCACGGACACGCCTCCCGCTGGAAGACCTACGTGGCCAACAGAGTGTCGCTGATCCAGGAGCGGCTACCCGAGACGCGATGGCGACATGTGCCGGGCAAGGACAACCCAGCTGACTGCGCCTCCCGAGGAGTTCTGCCCAGCGACCTGGTCGGTCATCCTCTGTGGTGGACGGGACCATCCTGGCTTTTAGAGGACCAAGCAAGGTGGCCGAACAACGACGGCGCCCTGCTGAACGCTGCTGTGCCGGAGCAAAGAGCCGTCGCCTTACTCTCGGCGGCTGTCAAGGACGTCTCCGAGTCGGCCTTCTTGCTCCGTTTCTCGTCATTGCACCGACTGCTCAGAGTGACAGCCTGGTGTCTTCGATGGCGACGGACCGGCACCCGGAGATCTCGCACCACCGCTGACGCCGCACTCTCACTCGTGTCTTGCGAGATCGAAGACGCACTCCTTCACTGGATTCGCACCACACAGACTCTGCACTTCCTCGGCGAGATCACAGCACTCAGCAAAGGACGCGCCTTGCCACCCAGAAGTCCTCTCACCAAGCTGAGTCCGTTCCTCGACGACAGCGGTGTAATGCGAGTCGGAGGACGACTGAAGAACGCCATCCTGTCTCACGACGAGCGGCATCCCATCATCATCCCACCGGAGGCAAGGTTGACTCACTTGACAAGGTGGACTCCTGCCACCGGCGGACCCTGCACGGAGGAGTGCAGCTCACCCTCGGGTTGCTTCGTCAACGAGTTTGGATCCCACGTGGTCGAGCAGTCGTCAAGCGGGCGATCCACCGATGCGTCACCTGCACGCGGTGGAGAGCCGCCGCACCGCAACCACTCATGGGCAATCTGCCCCGGGAACGAGTGACTCCTGCACGCCCGTTCCTGCGCACCGGGGTCGACTACGCCGGCCCTATCCTCATTCGGGCCAGCAAGGGACGAGGCCACAAGGCATTCAAGGGCTTCATCGCAGTTTTCGTCTGCCTCAGCACCAAGGCGGTCCATCTGGAAGCAGTCACGGACTACATGGCCGAGGCGTTCCTAGCTGCCTTTCGCCGCTTCGTTTCCCGGCGAGGCCTCTGCAGCGACGTCTTCTCCGACTGCGGCACGAACTTCGTCGGAGCTGACCGTGAGCTGCGGGAGCTGTTCCGCGCTTCCTCTTCCGACGGCCGTCGGATAATTCACGCAACAGCTTCCGACGGCGTGAGATGGAGGTTCAACCCCCCCGCAGCACCACACTTCGGCGGACTGTGGGAGGCCGCCGTCAAATCCACCAAACACCACCTCCGAAGGGTCATCGGCGAAGCCACCCTCACTTACGAGGAAATGGCGACCCTCTTTACTCAGGTGGAGGCGTGCCTAAATTCGCGTCCGTTGCAGCCGCTGACGGACGATCCCGACGATCTGGCGGCGCTAACCCCAGGGCACTTCATCATCGGCGCCCCCCTCGTGGCCGTTCCTGAGCCGTCACTCACGTCCGAGAAGGACAACGCTCTATCGCGGTGGCGGCTTCTTCAAAAAATGCGCGATCACTTTTGAGAACGGTGGACGCGCGAGTACCTCAGCACTTTGGCGTCACGACCAAAGTGGACCAAGGACGAAGCCGGCCCTAGCATCGGCGATCTGTGCCTGCTGCGATCGGAGATCACGCCTCCGACGAGATGGCCACTCGCTCGCATCACGGCACTGCACCCAGGAGACGACGGAATCATACGCGTCGTCACCGTCCGCACCGCATCTTCGGAGCTCACTCGACCACTCGCGAAGATCATCGTCCTGCCAGGAGACAACGCCAGGGCAGACTCATCACAACCGGATTCGTGAGCCCGCACAATCACACGTTCTTATTTCATTTCTCCTTTTTTTTGCTGCGGTTTCTCACTAATTCGTTTCACCGCATCGCACTTCATTCGCGTCACTTATAATCCCACGTACGATCGGCGGATCGCGTTATTAATTGTCTTCTCGCGTTTTCTTTTTTTTTACGTCGCAATTTCACGATCACTCGTCACCGCATTCCACGTTTTGGAAATCAACCGCCAATACTTTTACATATTGTACACAACATCACGAGTATGTTTCTCATTATTCACCGTCACAATATTTCACTAAAACGCAACACTCACTCAAGCGAAAATTTCAATAGACTGAATCACACGTGTTGTTACGTTGCATCATCACCACATTCCATTCATCACGCGCGATTCACAATTCACAAATCGAACTGCTCATGACATCTGTCAGTACTTGCACGCACTCATTCATTTCGTCATGTACTGACGAGGCGGGCGGGATGTTTGAAATTCATATTTCACATGCATATCATCTCAGATCATCATTACTGAAAATCGAAATTTTTCAAATTAACGGATGTCGAGAATCTTCTCGACGCTTCTATTTATAAAAAAAAACCGATCGTTCGAGTTATCTCTATTTTGTTGCCACCGCAAAAATCGTTTGTCTCTGCCGTTGACAATAACAGTGTCAACGGTCGCCGAAACCTGTATAGTTCACGGGCATGCGCGCCCATGCGTCACGATCAGCTGATCACCAATCAGCTGATCTAAAAAGATCGCGCGCATGACAATTACCTCATTGTCAGCGGTAGACCTCATCGGCGGCCAATGACGCGCGGCGCCCTGAGGTCACCGCCAAAATACAAAGTTAATTGGGCCACGTCGAAAAATCTGCCCGGTATATAACGGGCCCCACGCGTAGACAAGGCGAAGTCTCGCACTTTTCGCTAAACCGCACTTTTCGCTAAACCGCACTTATTGTAAATCGCTTCGCAAACCGCAGTATTACTCGACCGCTTTCTTCACTCGGACTTTCCTCTAGATTACGGACTTGAACCAATTCCGGCAATATTTTTCGAGTTCTGAAAAATATATATATTTTGTGTAAAACTTTATTCATCGTGTGGTGTTAAAAATAAAACTATCAAAAGTACAAAAAAAATCATACGTGTCGTGGCTTGTTTTTTCTCAATTGTGCAGTGTCCGAGTTGAAGACCTTTTCTGTCGCGCCTCTCGTTTCGAATAACTCATTCGCGAACAACTACGGATCCAGAAAAGATTTCTTCCATTAAGGATTGGCCAATTCCCCGCACCAAAAAGTAAGTCCGTAGCTTCCTGGGATTCTGTTCTTATTATAGGAAATTTGTCAAGGGATTTTCTCTGATAGTAAAACCGTTATTCTCATTGATTGAGAATGTTAGGAAATTTGTTTGGATTGAACAATGTGACGCTGCTTTTAGGGAATTGAGAAAACGTTTGATGTCTTCTCCAATTTTATCTTTTCCAAAAGATGAAAGGCAATTTATCCTCGACACCGATGCTTCAAATCATGGGATCGGTGCTGTATTATATCAAGTTCAAGATGATGTGAAGAAAGTCATTGCTTATTATAGTCGTATTCTCAGCAAGTCAGAAAGGAATTATTGTGTTACGCGTCGGAAATTGCTTGCTGTGGTGGAATCTTTAAGAAGTTTCCATCATTACTTTTACGGAAATAAGTTTACGATCAGGATTGATCATATCTCCTTGCGTTGGTTATTATCGTTTAGGAATCTGGAAGGTCAATTAGCTCGCTGGATGGAGCGTATTCAACAATACGATTTTGAGATTATTCATTGTAAAGGAAAGTTGCAAATGCCGATGGATTATCTAGGCGACCTTGTGAGGAAAGTGGTTGTAGGTATTGCGTCAAGATAGATTCTTGAGATGAAGAGTTGGTCGGAAGAATAATTCTAGGAGGAGACAGTTGGGAAAATTGGAGAGAAGATCAGTTGGAAGATCCGACGTTAGGTAAGTTTCTTCGTGGAAAAGAGGTAGATCGACGTCCTCTTTGGCAAGAGATTGTTTTCGAAGGCGCACCTAGTAAGCTCTATTGGTCACTATGGGATTCTCTAGTGCTTAGGGACGGAGTTCTTCACAGAAGGTGGAAATCTCCAAATTTGAAGACTTGCATTTTTCAAACAATTATCCCGCAAAAAAGAGTTTCTCAGATCTTGAAGGAGGCTCACGACTCCCCTAATGGAGGGCACTTTGGGGTAAATAAAACCCTCGGGAAGATTCGAAAAAGATTTTATTGATCGACTTGTAAACAAGACGTTGAGGATTGGTGTAGATCGTGTAGAACTTGTATAGCTAAAAAGGGTCCTTTTGATAAGGGAAAATCGTGTATGCAAATTTATAATGTCGGAGCTCCATTTGAAAGGATGCAGATGGACATCCTAGGTCCGTTTCCTATGTCTTCAGCAAGAAACAAATACTTATTAGTTGTGTGCGACTGCTTTACTAAATGGGTGGAAGTGTTTCCATTAAAGAATATAAGAGCAACCACTGTCGCGGAGGTCTTTGTGAACCAAGTAATTTCGAGATTTGGTGTTGCATACGGATCAGGGAAGAAATTTTGATTCGCGAGTCTTTCATGAGTTGTCTCATTTATTAAAAATTAAAAAAACTCGAACTATTTCGTTTCATCCGCAATCTAACGGGATGGTGGAGCGACAACATCGGACATTAACAGAATATTTGGCTAAATTTGTTTCTGGTAATTAACGTGATTGGGATCGTTGGTTAGGAATGAGTCTTCTAGCTTATAGGTCTGCCAAACATGAGACCACGGGAATAACTCCAGCTGAGTTGTGTCTAGGAAGAGATTTAAAATTACCTCTAGATCTTCTTCGTGGAAATCCTCTTGGGAATAAGAAAATTTTTTAGAAGAAAGCTATGTTTTGAGATTGTTGTGCCCGGCGCGGCACAGGGTGTGGGGTAGCCGGGAGAGGAAAATAATCGCTCCAATTGTTTAACAATAGAAATTTATTACACAGAATATACTTATTTATCCCTTATCTTTAGTCGGTTTTCTCAAGCCTTAATGTCGTCCTTTCCTGGATCCTTTCGTGGTTAGTTATGTCGGGGGCTTCGTAGCTCGGTTTGGCGGCTAGCCCTCGGATTCGCACTATACAGGGTCTACCAAAAGTGTGGAAACCCCTAAATATCTCGGAAAATATACGTTTTACAGAAAAGTGTTTCCAACAAAAGTTGTAGGGTTTAAGAAGATCTATATACTGATTCTATCAGTTTGACCTTGGATGGCGTCGTCAAGGTCAGGTCAAGGTCACATTGACTTTTTTAAATGACACCCCCTACATTTGATTGCATATTCTTATAGCTTAATTCAAGAGCTTTCCAAAACACTATAATAATGTTCATTTTTATTAAGTACTTTGCGAGTTATGAGGGTTGAATGATAGAGTAGCGCCGGTATTAACATTATCCAAGGTGTACTACATGGAGGTTACTCGCTCGGATTTGCATCTGTTGTGTGTGTGATCCAGCTAACTAAGGCAAGATCGGTCGTGGATCCAGTCAGCAAAAGCAAAGACCCAACCAAATTACAATCGAGCATTTAAAGACCTGGAAAGCAATCGACATAGTAAACAGTAAATAAATTTGTGGATGCTCATTTATCATAATAATTGTTCGAAATGTGTGCGTGTGCGTGCGTGCGGTGCGTGTATACAGAGATCAGGTTAGGTTGCACCAAACGATTGCAAATGTGTTTCAATGTGTTAAAGTAAATGCTGAAAGTGGCTGCCATTTACTTCCTGACAATATGCTAATCTTTGGTAGAATGTAGAAATGACTTTACGATTCGTTTCAAAAGGTATCAAAGCCATTTCATCCCTTATTCGCTGTATCAATTCGTGAATGGTTTTAGGTTTTGTTCTGTAAACCTTACTCTTCAGATATCCCCATAGATAATAATCAAGAGGAGTTAGATCTGGTGACCGAGGTGGCCAATCCTCTCCTCCCTCATTTCCGTTCCTTCTTCCTATCCACCGTAGCGGAAAAGTCTCATTTAAAATACGACGTGGTCCTGCACCAAAATGAGCAGGAGCTCCATCATGCTGAAACCATATTTCTTGGAAATTATTTGGAAAAGTATTCTGTATGGCTGGAATTATTTGATCAACAAGTAATCTCTCATACCTTTGAGCGTTCAAATATTCTTCAAAAAAAAACGGCCCTATTAAATAGCCATCTATTATTCCGCACCATACATTTATTTTTTGTGGATGTTGTGTGTGAGTTTCCCGCACCCAATTCGGATTCTCATCTGACCAGAAACGAAAATTTTGATTATTAACTTCTCCCGTTAAGGTAAAAGTTGCCTCGTCTGTGAAAACAATTTGATAAGGGAAGATGGGCCGGACATCTATTAGTGCCATCATTCTTTCACAGAAATGTATACGACGCTCCTCATCTCCGTTTTGCAATTCTTGAACGTATTGCAATTTATATGGATGGAACTTGTTCTTCTTTAAAATTCTCCAAACCGACATGGGAGCAATATCGTGAATTTGAGCGACTCTCTGAACACTAGAATTGGGATCTTCAATAAATGTCTGCAGAACATCAAGTTGTTTTTCTTCGTTGGTTGCAGACAATGGTCTTCCTGACTTAGAGCGATTTCTTACGCTACCAGTTTGTCTAAAACGTTCTATTGTTTTTAACACAGTGGACTTATTA